TCTCCACTTCGCGCGGAGTGCGCGTTCAAGACACCGCACAACATAATGTACTCGCCCACCAGTCATGGTTACCGACAAAAACAAAGAAGGGAAAATAATAGCGGCACCCTGGTCGCCGGGCTCACGAAGTTACCAGCTTGTTCCACAACATCGCGGCCAAGCAACGAGGACCTATCCCTATGGGGAAGACCGGTGGGGGCGAGGTTGATTCGCTGCCGTTACTTCCGGAAACTACAAACATGCTGCTATACTGCACCCCTTGTAGGGGACGCAACCTCACGGGTTGTTACTGTACGTGCAAAATTTATTGAAAGAACATTATATGCAACAGCTGCAATCTGCTGTGCACGTGCGGTCTGCTGACCCCCTTTATGATCAAGTGATGTACTGCTGTAGTCTCAAACCTATATTAGTCCGACAGACGTTCTAACTACTTTGTCTTGATCCAAAAATTTATTGCGGCGAGACCTCAGGCCAGATTGGAGATCTCGCTTCGCTCGAATAATTACCTTTGGACCACGCTGAGCATGCTAAAACAAAGAACACGCATAGCGAATTAAAATCTAAGTTTCTTAACTTCGGCCACATGACGTTTCTTAACTTAGGCCACATGACGTCGGACTACAAGGTATGATTTTGCCGGCTCCGAGAACCTTCGACATTACCCGTTGGATACAGCTACCCGAAGGGTTGTAGGAAAATACAAAATTACTAAGCGCAAGCACCGCCTGCGCTGGTGAAGGACGGCACAGGGTGGCCGCCTGAACGAGAGTTGTGGCATGGGGGCGAACGGCATGGGTTCACTAGTGTGCTATGGACGACGTTTAGGGTTCGTCGCCAGAACGACAAACGGACATAACACTGTAACACGATCGGGTGGCTCACTTGTATGTCTGCAGCAGCTGCCGGAGCATACGGCGCTCATTCGAGATGTCAGATGGGCTGAAGAGTTCGAGTGTGAAGTACTTCTGCATTCCATCGTCGACCTCTGCTTGAGTAACGATCGGCCACTCCTTGAGGATTTCCTGGCGACAACCATGCGGGGTACGAAGCAATCGTAAAACACAGAACACAACAGCGGGTCAAGGGATTCTAACAGGGTCTCATTGACGCTTCGTCTCCGATCGAGACGAAGGCCAACGAAAACGAAATCGCGCCCACACAAATCTACTAGGGTTAAGGATTGGCCCCCCGCCCCCCAATGGGGCTGGGGGCCAACATCCAGGACGGACGGATGGTGGTGAGTGTCCGGGAGGAAGGAAAGAAGAAGAAGAAGGGGAGAGGATTTGTAGGGGCGGGAAGAAGTGACGGAGTTGGGAGAGTCAAGGAAGTGGTGAAGAATTTCGGCACTCGACGAGCGCGCGGTCCCGTCGGTGGTGAAAGGGACATGTCAGTTCGTAGTCTTGTCTATCCGACTCGAGAAGCCGAAAAATCGAGGTATACATTATGTACATAACGATGTAGAAGGCCGACGAGGAAGGTACGAAGAGAGGAAATTGCACCCCACGTTCGAAGTTCGAAATTGGGGTGGAAAACCGCGGCAAGGAAGGAGTGCGAAGGAAAAAAAAAAAAGGAGACGTCGACGTTTGCGTCGTGGAACGATCCTTCCGTATAACGCAGGTACTCTACGTGTACCTGTCGTCGACACATGTGGTGGCAGCCGCACGACACACGAACGGATGTTTGCATCGCATTGAACTATGGTTCGCCGCGACAGGAAGTAGCCCATCCAGTTAGGTCGTTACCGAAGTACGCGGACGTCGTTCGGCGTCTAGTCCATCTGCTGTAGCTACAAATCAGTGAGAGGAGACTTTAAACGCCAATTTTCTGAAACGTGGAAAACGCTACCGTGGAAAACGCTAGGGTTTAGGGTCTATGCCCAATCAGTCGTCAAGGCGTATCCCCCCCCTATCCAAACCACCCACCATGAGGTACACCTACCAAGGTCAATAAAGCGGCTAGAAGGGTTTGGTAGGGGCTTAGTGTCGTAGTTGTCTTAGCCCTCGTGTTCGGGACTTGAATTAATTATAGATGAATTAGATGGACAATTAGCGAAATAACGACAAACATGACCAAAGCGCCATAGAATTGTACCCCTTCAAGCACAGGCGAGCGTTGGGTTAGTGCACGGGCCCAGCGTTGGTCTCGCCTTTGCGTTGCGTAGGACGTAAACTCCACAGTCGCAGCCATTGTCCTGCTTAGGCGACTCGGTTATCACGAGAGGAAGTAAGTCCTTGTCGATAGTAGCCTCTCCTCGGTCGCTAGGAGCTCCACGCCTCCTGAATGTACCTGACGTTTTCCACACCGTCCACAGGAATGTCGAGTTTCACGACGTTATATAGTCAAACTTGGAATCACATGCAGGGGTCAGGGGTCCGTGGAAAACTATCCTTTGGATCAGATACGTACCCTTAGTCACTACCAAACTCGGCCACGACAACTGCGACATCTCTTGACGCTACACCAATACGCAAAGTTCAACGTTGACACCGACGAAGCCGTTGAACTCGACGGAATGCTCTTGTAGGATAGGCTATTGCTCAGAATGAAGTTTCGGTTAGCCCAGACTTTCTGCGATCCTATGGGGAGACGGTAAAGAGTTAGATTAGCTCAGCCTGGCGTATAAACTCGACCAGTGTGGGTATTCGATCAGGTCATATCCTTGTTAACATATCTTCCCCATGTCAATTGCCCTGTCAATTGTAAGTACTACTGGAGTTATCTTCATCTCCCGCCTGCTCTCTTCGACCCCTGCTGACATGGGAGTCGACCGTAATGGCGAGTCTGTTTGTCTTTCTGACTACCTTTGAATGCGCCAGGGGAGGGTTGAAGGGTTAGTCTCCATCTCTCTGACTCTATCTCTCTGTGGGTCTCTCTCCCTCTCTCTCTCACACACGCTCACGCGATAATCCTTTCCTGGATCTTGGCAGGATTGTGCGTGCCGAGGGAGTCGAAGAACAACATGCACGGCCGGGCGTCGTGGTTCCCATAGCCCACCTTTGCATCGTCCGCCTAAAGACGTTGAAAGTGTGACGTGGAGGGTTAGGCTCTCGGCGTGAATGTTTGGTCTGAAGGGGCGTGTCGTGTAGGCTAGGATTAATTGTCGGTTCGTCTAATTACGATAGCAAATCCGTTTTGTATCAAGCGACCGGAAACTGGAGCTATTCGTGTAATACAGTAGCTCCCCTTGTCCTCGGGACAACATACCTCATGTCAAGCGCAACTGCTGTATGTAGCAAATGCATGAGTAGCACGTGCCCGTCTACCGCACCCTAGCTAAGGCGGTCCCACCTATGACTAGCCGGAAAACAAAAGGTCCGGCTGCGCGCCGCCATCTGCCTTTCGTCTGTCCATCTAGGGCGTGGGTGTACACGTCTGGCGACACGCGTGTCGGCCCAGCTGCTTCGCATATCTCTCTCTTCACAAGTGGGGGTCACTTTTGGTATATATCGCCATACAACGGTACACACCGCTATAGTGTCGAGGTTGCAGAGGCACGCAAGGCTCCAGTACAACCAGTAGTTGACGGGCACGAAGACAAACTTCATGTTGAAGATATCAGCGCCCCGGGTCCAACGCTTAACCTTCCGGAAAACCTATAGCGAAAAGGGAACAACGGATGGGACGGGGGGTACATAGTAAGGAAATCGTGAGCACGGAGTCGCAGCCGGTGTGTAATGTTCAAACTTGTGTATTACCGCGACCCGCCAGGGGAGGAGCGTTATGTTCTTTCTCGATGAAATACTGGTTGTCGAAAACCTGCTGGGGAAGTCCGCTTGTTTGGATAAAGCGCACATCGAGATGCCTTACTTTGTTCGCGTAATGCACGCGTCGCTCGACAGACAACAGGGTTACGGCTGCTCTCTCTGCTCCCAAGAGGGAAGCATTACACCCCATACCGTAGAGCACACCTACATAAACCCTGTTCACGTGGTCTGCTGCTTCCATAATCGGGGGCGGGCGCAGTATCACACCCAACTACTTTCCTGAACTCTACCGTCGGCTTCCCTCTTATTCCTGTCGCTGTGACCCTCTTCTTAGACCACCCCTTTCGAAAGGTTACCGAGCGCAACTATGATAGGGATAGGTGTGCGCACAGAGCCAGCACCATCATATAACTCACCTACCCGAAAAAATAACCGTAAACCATGACATCCGGTCAAGACTCCCCTCGGGGCGATCGTCGTGCGTTGCCGAAGCCATGCACGTTGTCTCCGAGGTATGGCCGGTATTATTGAGATGAAAATAAAGCTTTGACCGAAGAGGCACCGGGGGGAACATGTCATGTTTTCTGTTGTGATGCACCTAGTGTATGACGCTTCCCAGATATGACGCCGAGTGCGTAATCATGTCGGGAACCAGCATGAAGTAGGAGGAACACGCTGGGACCAAGAGAATAAACATTGTTATGTACAGGAAAGGCTATACGTCTACAAATAGTTTTAATCTAGTCGATCCCTGAGTAACTGTGATATTCGTGCGTTGCGTCCTCGCCCCACATGCCCACAGCAGATGCCTTTGTTCGGATAGGTAGGCCGTGACGGATTCAAGTTAGAGCCACAGGCTTCTGAAAAAAAAAAACTTTGCGTATTGATATTTCGGCGGCCACTGACGTACTCTGGCCGGCTATATTGCGACCTCCGTCCAGCTAAAAGTAAACGAACCTTTTTACTAGGTCGGCGGCTACCAGCACCACCGCAAGCATGCATCCTCCAATGATCTGACCTACATCCGAGGGCCGTTCGTCTCTCTCGGAGAGCTTGGTGTAGAAAGAAGTGGGAAAGATGTGGACCTTGTTGGCGTCGATGGATCCTGCAGACCTAGGCGTGGAACCACTACTCGCCACGGCAGTGGTGGCGTCGTCGGCATCGCCTGCAGGAGCGACAGCAACAGGAGCACCACAAGAAGAAGATCCTTCGTCGACATCGTCTCGAACGGCGACGCCACCCCCGCTGGCGTTACGACGCCAGGCGACACCGCCGGGACCGAGAGATTTGCAACTACCATTCATTGCTTGCGGCTCCAGCGCCGGCATCACGGGTACTCTCGCCGGCATCGCCGCGTGGAACGCCGAAGACACCTTTGCCCCTCTCTACATGCTTGTCTCCGAGCATGCTCCTGCCACGAGAAGGCAGACATTCGTGCGGATGGTTCGGTAATAGGATGTCGGTTAGTGTGTTTCCGATACATCAAGATAACCTACAGTATGGTGAAATTGACTCGGGTTTGTGCTGTGTGAGTCCGCCATGCCAGTAGCATAGTGCTACCGAGGTACTACCACGTTTACGTTTAATCGTCGTCGTTGTGGTTGCAGTATTAGGTCGACGTAGCCTACTCCCACCCACTGACCTCAGGTACAGATCGACGAGGTTATCGTTCAAAAGTTCTCCGTCATTGGTGCGGCACACGTCCAGTGCGTATATCCGGACCTTGTCCGCGAACCTGTCCCCCCCCGCCGCCTTGCCAAGCGGATACTCGAACAAGAACGGGTTAGCTGGTGTAGATGAACGTGCACTAAGCGTCCTCCTGCGACATTTACAGCGTTGAGGGCGCCAGTACAAAGGTATATCCGCCGACATGCACAGTAGGGATGGCCCTAGTCCACCACAGCAAGGCAGTACGACCCAGCCTGTAGTCACAATCACCAGCCGTTACTCTCGCAACACCACCACCGAATAAGGGCCACAGTGTTGTAGATAACGCCAGCTACGATTACGACGACGACGTTAGTGTTTTAACAACCCCAATTACATGAACCCAATACCTTGCTCGAAACACTCGCCTGGGTCCACCGTGGCCGTCCTTCTTGGCCTCCTCTGTCTCCTCCACGTGCGTATCCAGAGATCGCCTGATGTATACGGGCAGCTGTCCCTCCATGTAGGTTACGACGTTCACGGCGGAATCTTCTCCCTCAAATCGGAGGGCGGCAACGGCATCCATGGTCGACTACCACGTAGTTTGTAGTTTGGTAAGGGTGCTAGAGTTCCCGGAAACTGTTAGGCAAATATGAGATTTGGACGTGCCGTATGGGAGGCACATATTACACGCACAGCTATACATGACAGCGCAACACCAACCGCCAGCACCAAAACACGGTCAACACCGCGTCCTGCTATGCGGTTAGCCGATGGGATTTGACGATTCGCGGGTCAATGCGTGGTCTGTAAGCACCGCAGCAGAGACAAAAAGCTCGGGGTGCACACTTTGGCCTAACGCTTCTACTTGTACCATTCGAAAAAAAAAGTCGCTCAATCTCTAGTTTCACGGAACGCCAAGGATCAACCGTAGCTGTTGTGTCATACCCTCGCCAATGCCGGTTTTCCGGTAAAATGACGGGAACACCCGTCGACACAGCAGTTCCGGCTTCTACGTTCTTGGGTCTGTGCATACCGTAGGCCAATGGCAACAATGCCGCCGTACAATTGCAACCACGTGACCCCACGGCGACATTGACCCTGATTATCGGATTCCACTAGCGCCCGTCTTGTCCTGTTGCAGACGGTGTGAGCGCATTTCGTTGGAGAGTAACGGGATCCGCGTGCGCTTCGCGGAACAATAATTACTGGGATAACCAATGATATATATAGCACATCGTACCGTTTTGTGCACGTGGAACCCATGGTCCGGTGGCAAGAACACGGTGATGTGGCCCCGGGTACCTATCGTTTGCAGTGAGTAGAAGGAAAGGGGCAAACACAAAATGCGACCTGGTTGTTAGGCACCTATTAGTGGACGTTTTGGTCCGTAACATTGGGAAAGGGATGTCATGTCAGACCCCAACCTAGGGCGTGCCGTGTTCTTCCAGTGTTGCAGCGAATCTACTTTCAAGCCTTGTTCGTCATTCCGGGGCGCGATCTCCTAGTTTGTAGTGGGACGCGTGCCATGCTACGTCCACGTGCACTGGAAGTTTAGTTTAGCTATCTGTATGTACTGCTCATATTTGGAGATAGGGTTAGTACCATGATGAATGCATCACCATCCAATATGCGGTTTGACTTCTTCATCAAACATCTCGGGTAGGCGGTGTTGCTGTTTCAGGGGGGTAACTCTCTCACACGCACACAGACTGCGGGCGCTCCGGCAGAGAGACGCCGCTAGGCGACAGCGAGGGCGGCCTTCGACACCACAACAGCGGGCGCGTACCCGATAGATAGCTGCAGCGAGGCGCCAGTAGCAGACACCACAAGAGTTCGGGGCAGACTTACGACAAACTAAAGAGCCACGTTGAAAAAAACAAGAACAATAAGGCCCTGTTACACCTGTCTCTCGCTATCACACGCACTTCCTCCCGTGGATGCACACGCCTGCAATCAGCTGCAGTTCGTGTAAATGAGCCGCGGAGCGCGAAGCGCCACATTGTTTCCCTTCGTCCCCAGGATACATAAAAAATTGCTCGAAAAATCGGCCAAATTTGCGCCGCACAATATAGGCGCCCCAAAACGCGGTTTCCTGGAAGCCGATAATGCCCACGTTTTTAACCAGCACGAGATCTATAGGGCTTAGATTGACGGCCAGTTCGCTTCCGACTAAGAAGTAAATAGAATATCGCGCTCTTAGTTGCACGGGATTGGTCGTGCTTCGGCAACAGACGGCCGTGCTTCACAGGCGTATGTCGCCAAATTTCGTAGTATTTGTTGTAGTATACCTTGCTCCCCGAACTCTGGGTTTCTTATCTCAAATGCGTACCCAAAAGCGTGCGTCGCGCGCGCACGCGGATCAAACCTGGACAAGAAACACCGACAGAGACGTAAGAACGAGACCGATGTGTCGTGCAGGTTGTGAGGCTGACGACATATTTGCCATGTGTCGTGTCACAATCCTATGTCGACCCTGCTGGTCGTGTTCATCTACGGTCGGTGTGGTAGTCTCGCCGCCAGGTGTATGCCGCATGCGTGCCTCTTCCAGAAAACCCCAGACTTGCGTGTTTGCGTCCGCACAGCGGGAAGCTTCACATGTTGTTTCTTCGTGCATGTGCATCATCAACGGAAATGAAACAACCGCATGTAACGTGCAACATCTTGAAAGGTGCCCGCACATACGACCATGCTCGCTTCTATCGCACGCCTCCTGTCCCTCTGGGGTGAGCGCATAGCTGCCCCACAAACAGATCACGCTGGTGTGTGTCTGGATCCGTGCACCATCAGCAGCGTGGCTCAATCCCCCCCCCACATACCTATGTGAGAACAGCCAGTATATATTTTACGTCCTGCCCCTCTTGCCTCTTTCGTCTCTCTCGGGCCCACGTGTACGTCGGCACTGACCTAAATCTGACGGGTCGTAATGTCGGTTGTACGTGTGTCCTGTTGCGATGTTTCCATCGACTTTCGTCTTGATGGCGACGCAAGGCCTTGCGCCTTTGCCCCCTTCGCAGAACCTAAGTATGGGCATGCGCCGAGCACCGCCGAGACAAATACCGCCAATCCAGGCAGGGGCGCGAACAGGACAGAGGGAGGCGGAGAGAAATCGAGACACTGAGGGAGAGCAGGTCGGCGGTAAATGCTCTGCAAAAATGTCTGCTATCATGGGAAGGATTGAAACGCAAAATGTATTTATAATCGCAGCGAAGGTTAGACTTGCTTAGGTCATGCTTCCTCCGTCAACTTCGACAACAGGCTTACATCGCGGGATGCACAATGCATGTATACTATCGCCCTGTATATTGTCTTACATTAGCTGGCGACTGATTCCCCAGCAAGCCGCGACGGTACTCCATAAGAATTAGCCGCAGAGCGCGAACCGCGACTTGTTTGCTCTTCATCCTCAGGGTCGAAAAAAGGGCTCCCAATTTATTGGGCTCTTTCAACGGTCGCGCTGAATAGCGCCTCTTTGGCATACAATTCCGGGAATGGTACGTCTAAAAACTATCGCCTGTGTTGGCCGAGGACGAGGTTTATAGAGAACCGATGTACTTTCTTGGGGTTTGTGAAAGGAGGAAGGTAGCCAGAAGCTACCAAATATATTATTGTGTGCGTCAGTACTGTTAGGTGCCGATCGTTGGAGGCTGCTGTTTGCGTAGTAGAGGCGAACATGTGTGTGTGCGTGTGTGATTGTCCGCGTTCAACTTTCTTTGTAGTATTATTTGCTGGGTACTTGCTACAAACTTCCAGCGGGAGCGGGCACAAGGTACAAGGTCGTCGAAGATCCGTTCGAGTGTCATGCCGCATGTAATGGAGTGCGCGTGCTGGGTTGCTGCGTGGCTATACATAAAGTTGCGCGTGCCTCCTACCCTGCACAGCATCGCATATGTACTCTGCAACGTAGTGTGTCGTTACCCGCAGCTCATTACAACCCCCCCCCCCCCTTCCTACGGCTATGTTCCAGAGCACCTACCCGAAGTAGGTAACCTCTTCGAACGGGATGCACATTGTCGTGTCGTCCGACACCCCGCCCCTGTGTCGGCGGAAGATAACACGGCGAAGGAGGGACGGACAGTGCGACAGGCCCAACATCAGATCACGATTTCTTAGGGATACGCACCAATTCGAGGCGGATCGTGTCTCCACGCCCTCGTCTGTATCCTTGTATGTCCGTAATGTTGTTCAAGTAGAGCATTCGTGTGTATGTGGGTGTGGGGCGGTCGCAGTGGTACTGTGTAAGTTGGTCAAGTTGTATACGTGCTTTCTCCGCCCCGCTCCAAACGGCGTTTCCAAGGTACGCGCCGAGTGGTCATACTGTGTTCAGGTTTCGTGGGAGAGAGTTGCATAGTGCTGAACGCCTGTGGTACAAGGCTAGGCCCTGATAATACCGGTGAGAACACGTCAACGTGTCGTTTGGGACGACGATTGATATGCAGCGCACGAAAGGTTGTGCGGAGGATCGAGTCAGCGTCGGCGAGCCATAGTCTGAGTGAAAATTGCTCATGTTCGAAGTACAAGTCACACGAAGATGCGTAGACATAACGTGAGAGTCCGACGTTTGAGAGCCGAAATACAGACATATAGGTTTTATGCGACTCTGAATCGTGCGTGATGGGTGATCAGTTTGGCAGGTGAGTAACTTGAAGGTGGCCTAGCAAGGCCGTATCACACAGACGTTGAGAGGTGGGTTTAGGAGTACATGTATTACCAACGAGTCGTGTTGTGGTGGGTTGGTGTGTACAGCTCCTCTTGCTCGTTACAACGGAGTGCTGTCTCGAAAATCGATTTTCAAGCAACTCGGCGCAAGTTCATCGCCGCTCACTTTCCCACCCCCGGGGTTGGCTATAATCCCAAACTACAGGGCACACCTCCCCTTTCGCTCTCCCCTTTGTGGGTGGGTGTCTTTGGACGCCCCCCCCCTCGGTGTTTTCCTTCGGGGTTGGGTTGAGAACGCTTACTTGGCGAGCTCAGAAAGCAGGGTACCGCATTTTTATTTATACTTCTTTCGGGCACCATCGGTGGTGCACGTGGAATTTTTGTCGAGTAGGCTAGGTTGTGCGGGTAGAGAGTCGTCACTCCGCGCTACGGGGGTAATAGCACCACGTTGTGTTTTGTCGGTCAAGCATTACCGAGGCAGGTATGGAAGTAGAATCACCAGTAAAAGAGTGAAGTCATGCGCAGCTGTCGTCCGTACGCAAGGAAGCAAGCACAATATGCCGAAAACCCTTAGCAGGATGCAGCGCACCGTTCATGTTACTCGCCGAATGCCTCACGGCGCTTCGCGCATGTGAGAGTCTGGTCCGGCGAGAACCCGGCGTGCTTTGTCTCGGCTTTGTAGGGATGCGAGGTCAATGGTCTAACGACTACGGCATGCACGATTTTGAGTACCCCCCCCCACCTCCATCCCCACTCGGTGTTTGCCATCGGGGTTTGGGTTTTCGTCGCTTGGCAACGACGTTGTAAAACAAGCCAATTCACTTCGTGAACTCGGCAACCAGGTTACCATTTGTTTTTTTACCTCGTTTTTTTTTTTGGCGGTAACCATAATGGTGGTCGAGTAGATCATGTTGTGCGGGGTCGAGA